TGCCAAAATCCTAAACAAAATACTACCAAATTGAATCCAGGAATACATCAAAAAAATTATTCACCATGACCAAGTGGGATTCATCCCAGGGATGCAAGGCTGGTACAATATTTGCAAATCAATTAATGTGATACACCACATGAACAAAATGAAAGATAAAAAATCCTATGATTATATCAATACACGCTGAAAAAGCAATAAACAAAATCCAGCACCCATTTCTGATAAAAACATTCAGCAATCTGGGAATACAGAGATTATATTTTGACATAATAAAGGCCACATATGAAAGACCTACAGCCAACATCATACTCAATGGGCAAAATTTAAAAGCATTTCCCTTAAGAACAGGAACAAGACAGGGATGCCCACTTTCACCACTCTTATTTAATATAGTAGTGGAGGTCTTAGTCACAGCAATTAGACATGAAGAAAGAATAAAAGGAAACCAGATTGGAAAGAAAGAAATAAAACTTTCGTTACTAACATCAAAATTACAACTAAACTATAAAACAACCGTCATTCAAAGCCACCCGAAATCAAGCTGAATGGAAGTCCTGCAACTACAAAATTAAAGAAGAAGCCACGTGGAAACTGTTAGGAGGGGCAGAGGTATGGAAGGACTGTTCCCCACCCACATGTGGCGCATAAAAATTAGGAAGGTACCTCACCTGTGAAGGACCTTCCTGAGGAGTGAGGGGTACACCTCCCAAACCAGGACGTCAGCTCCGGGTTCCAGTGCCAGGAAGAGAGGTCCCCATAACTTCTCGCTGTAAAAACCAGCAGGAACTGAGGCTCAGGGAGGCTGAGCCTGCTCAAGCCCCAAGCAGCTTCTCTTAAAGAGCTCACTCAGGGACTTACTCGGACCAGCTTCCTCTAAGTCCAGTGTGGAGGGGAGGCAGCTCAAAAGGCACAAAGACATATGAGGAAGAACTGAGTTGTTTGGCATTGGGGCGAGGGCTGGAGGGACAGCTTTCTCCCGGACAGATGTGCTCTTGAAGGCCTTTGTTCTTTGGGTGAGCCCTTCCCCCAGGAGCCTGGCAGACATCAGCCATATGTGAGACTCCAGCAACCTGGCTCATACTGTTCGCCCTGCCTTGGTGATTCTCTCAGGCCATGCCTCACCCAACTTTCAGGCCTACCCAAGTTGTTCCCAGTTACTTTATCATGGGAATGGCCTGTCATGGATCCTGCTTCACATTTTCCTAAATTCACTCAAACAAGCAGCATCTGGTCTCAGTGAGCCCCATACCTCTTGTTAGGTGGCCACAGGCCTGACACTCTAAGCAGCCAGCCTTGATTCACAACTTGGCTTTGGCTGGGCAGCTCCAAGCCCAGCACAAGATGCAGCCATCTGCAGACTGCTTTGTAGCTTATGCCTAGTGGCCCCGGGTAGATCACAGGCAGCAGCCGACCTTGTCCCAGAGCCAGCACACCCAATAGACAGCTTCAGACCACATCGAAGCACCACCACCCAACCACGTCCATAATTGACACACTCAATGAGTGAATTCAGTGGGTACCAGAGCCCTGATGAAGTAAGTCTTGCTCTGTGTGGTGGGCCCCTGCACAGTTGATCCTCCAAGGTAGTCAGAGGTCGGTGGATAGTGGGCACAGCCGGTCCTTACAGCTGATCAGCCTGAGTAAAACCCTCTCATTGATGTGTCAACAGCAATCAAAACTCAATTACAACAGAAGGGTATAAAGTCCACACAAGGGGTGCACCTCGAGGGCCCAGCTGTGAGACCAGGGAGGTGGTGCCTACAGGACACCTACACAAAAGTCCACTCTAGGAAGCCCGGGAGACATAGCAAGTCTACCTGATACATAGAAACAAACACATGGAAGCAGCCAAAATGAGGAGACAAAGAAACATGTCCCAAATAAAATAACAGTACAAAATTCCAGGGAAAGAACTAAACAAAATGGAGATAAGCAATCTAATAGATGCATAGTTCATAGCACTGCTTATAAAGATGCTCAATTAACTTAGTGAAAACTTCAATGAACTTAGTGTGTGCCTCAAGAGCACAAAAAGGATGAGTCAAAAATGAAAGAGGCACTAAGTGAAATAAAGAATAATTTACACAGATTCAATAATAGAGTAGGTAAAGCCAAGAAGCAAACCATCAATTTGGAATATAAGGAAGCAAAAAACATTCAATCAGAACAGCAAAAAGAAAAAAGAATCCAAAAGAAAATAAGTATAGTGTAAGAAGCCTCTGGGACAACTTCAAGTGTACAAACATTTTCATCTTGGAAGTGCCAGAAGGACAAGAGAGAGAACAAGAAATTGAAAACCTGTTTGAAATAATAATCACAGAAAACTTCCCTAACTTGGTGAAGGAAACAGACATACAAGTCCAGGAAGCACACAGAGTCCCAAACCACATGAACTCCAAGAGGTCCACACCAAGACACATCATTATCAAAATGCAAAATGTTCAAGACAAAGAAAATCTTAAAAGCAGCGAGAGAAAAGCAGTTAGTTACCTACAAGGGAGCTTCCATAAGACTGTCAGCTGATTTCTCAAAAGAAACATTGCAGGGCAGAAGGGTATGGCAAGAAATATTCAGAGTAATGGAAAGTAAAAACCTCCAACCAAGATTACTCTATCCTGCAAAGCTGTCATTTAGAATTGATGGCCATATAAAGAGTTTCCCAGACCAGAAAAAGCTAAAAGAGTTCACCATCACCAAACCAGTAGTATATGAAATGTTAAAGGGTCTTCTTGAAGAAAAAGAAGATAAAAAATATGAAGAAACAAAATGCCATTAATACACATCTATCAACAATTGAATCTACAAACAAAATGAACAAGCAGAACAGAAACATTCTCATAGATACAGAGAACATTTTGTTGGTTGTCAGATGGGAGGGGAATTAGGGGAGTGAGTGAAAAAGGTGAAGGGATTAAGAAGTACACATTGGTTGTTAGACTGACAAACCTCAAAAGGAAGAGGGGTAGGGGCAGGAAAAATATATACTAAAGAACTTATATGCATATATGCATAATAAATGTACACAAACAACAGTGTGGAAAAAGGTAGGAGGGGCGAGGGAGGAGGGGTCAATAGGGGAAAAAGGAGGAACATCTGTAATACATTCAACAATAAAGATAATTTTTTTTTAAAAAAAAGAAACTGTCGTTATTTCTAGATAACATGATATTGCACCTAGAAAACCCTAAAGACACCATCAAAAATCTGCTGGATTTAATAAACAAATTTGGCAAAGTAGCAGGATAAAATATTGACATCAAGAAATCGGTGGCATTTTTATACACCAATAATGAACTCACAAAAAGAGAAACTAAAAAACAATCCCATTTACCACTGAAGCAAAAAAATTTAGATACCTAAGAATAAACTTAACCAAAGAAGCAAAGAAAGGACTTATTTGCACAAAACTACAGGACATTGAAAAAAGAAATAGAGGAAGATATAAAAACTGGAAACATATACCTTGTTCAGGGACTGGAAAAATTAACATCATTAAAATGTCCATACTAGCCAAAGCAATCTATAGATTCAATGCAATCCCCTTTAAAATATCAATGACATATTTCACAGAAATAGGACAAATATTTCAAAAGTATATATGGAACAACAACAACAAAACCCGAATAACCAAAGCAATCTTGAAAAAGAAGGACAAAGTAGGAGGGATCACAATACCGGATATCAGGTTATACTACAAAGTCATTGTAAACAAAATAGCCTGTTACTGGCACAAGAACAGGCATATTGATCAATGGGACAGAATAGAGAACCGGAAGTGGACCCAAGGCTGTATGCTCAATTAATATTTGACAAAGGTGGTAAGAGCATACAGTGTAGGAAGGACAGCCTCTTTAATAAATGGAATTGGGAAAATTGGACAGCTACATGCAAAAAAATGAAACTAGACCACCAACTTATACCATACACAAAAATAAACTCAAAATAGATAAAAGACTTAAATGTGACTCAAAAATCCAGAAAAATCCTAGAAGAAAATGTAGACAACAAAATTTCAGACATCACACACAGCAGAATTATCACCGATACAACACCTAAAGCAAGAGAAACAAAGAAAAACATGAACACATGAAACTACATCAAACTAAAAAGCTTCTTCTGCACAGCAAAAGAAATAACCATCAAAATAGAAAGGGATCCCACTGTATGGGAGAACCTAATTGCCAATGATACATCAAATAAGGGGTTAATTTCCAAAATATATAGAATACTCATACAACTTAAGAAATGGAAGACAAAGATCCCAATTAAAACATGGGCAGAGGATCTAAAGAGACACTTCTCCAAAAGGACATACAAATGGCCAAGAGACATATGAAAAAATGCTCAACATCACTAACCATCAGAAGGATGCAAATTAAAACAACTGTGAGGTATCACCTCACACCTGCCAGAATGGCTGCCATCAACAAATCCAAAAACAAGTGCTGGCAAGGGTATGGAGAAAAGGGGACTCTAGCACACTCCTGGTGGGAATGCAGACTGGTGCAGCCATTATGGAAAACACTAAGGTGTTACCTCAAAAAAGTTAAAAATTGAATTGCCATTTGACCCAGTGATCCCACTTCTAGGAACATACCCTAAGAAGCTTGAAACACCAATCAGAAATAATATGTGCACCCCTATGTTCATAGCAGCACTAGTTACAATTGCTAAGATCTGGAAAAAACCCAAGTGTCTATCAATAGCAAGTGGAGAAAAAAGCTGTACATATATACAATGGAATACTATGCAGCTGTAATAAAGAAAGATCTCATAATTTGAGATGACATGGAGGGACCCGGAAACTTTTATGCTAAGTGAAATACGGCATTCAAAGACAAGTATCGAGCTTGCTGCTGTTGCCGGATGGATCACTGCAGGTGAATGAATTGCTGTTGCTTTTGAGGTTGCCTGGCACTGGGTGCAGGCCCTGTAAATCCACCTACTCCCTAGCTGCCATATCTGCAGATCTGACCATGTAACTCCTCTGCATGGACTATGGCAGCTCAGCAAGCCACTCCTGGCAGCCAGTCAGAGGAGAGCAGTACTTGGGAGCTGCCATCGGCTTGTGACATAAGAGATTACATGCTGCGTGAACACAGCCAGGAGGCTCACAGCGAGAATGTTAGTTCTGTAGAAGCCCTTTCCATTCCTTCTTCTTCTGAGGTGGATCCAGGTTACACCTGTTTTGTGAGACTTACCTGATCCATCAATGAATATAGTTCTAGCACCAGGGATTCCAAAATGGCGGCGGAGTGAATGGAAGCTACAGAGACCATCTCCCAGAACCAAACTGGAATTACAACTATAACACAGACAAATCGACGGGAAAAAGCAACAGAAAAGCAGCTTGCGAGGACCATATAACCAGGGACACTGACTCGATCCTGGTAGGATTGCGAAGGCTCGAGACGGAGGATGGAGGCCACAGTCAGCAGCTCGGCAGCAGCCTCAGCTGTGAGCAGCGCCTTCGGATTACACTCCCAAGCGGCTCCACAGCGCAGAGCCGGGACAGAGGCTAAAAAAGCAACAGCCACTCACCTTGGGCTACGGCAGAGGGAAGGCAGACTGGACTGGAACTGTGTCGAAACACTCGGGATTTAGAGGGCACTCAGAGCTTTTGCTGATTGGCAGCTAAGCAGGACGGTGTCCATATTGCTCCTTCACAGGGCTCTGGGGAGAGGCAGCAGCCCGTCCGTTGGAGATCCAACCCCACTCTGTGGGCCACTGAAGTGCTAATTGAGGCTCATTAACAACCAGCATCTGCCCCACCCTCATGAAATCCCCTTATGCTGAGGACCTGAGAAAGTTTTTCAATCAACTGACAACCCAAAACTCATCAAGTAACCTCAACTGCTAGCCTCCAGGAACAAAGCTAGAGGATAACAGTACTTTTCCTGGGCTAGCAACTTCAACCAGGAAAGTAAGACTTCACAGTGGTGTTTAACATGGGTCCTCCCTCGCTCATCTAAACCCAGGAGAGGAAGCCACGAACAGCAGAACACCAACACCCACAGGGAAAACTTGACAGGCTTCAAAGACCACGGTGATAGCCAAAATGGTGAAACACAGAAACAGAAGCCAAATGAAAGAGCAAGAGACCGCCACCAAAGATGAGATCAATGTGGATCAAATAGGCATATTAACAGAGCTAGAATTCAGAGCCGTCATCTTGAGGAAGCTCAACAGTATGAGTAAGGACATAGAGACACTAAAAATAAGCCAACTGGAAATTAAAAACCATCAAGAAGAGATAAAAAAAAATGACATATCAGAAATGAAAAACACATTGGAAGGTTTAAAAAGCAGAGTAGAGGAAGCTGAGGACCAGATCAGTGAATTAGAAGACAGGGTAGAAAAAAATCAACCAATCAGAAACACAAAAGGAAAAAATGATTAAAAAACAGGAAGACAGCTTAAGAGAACTGTGGGACAACTGGAAACGAAATAATATTCGCATCATAGGAGTCCCCAAAGAAGAAGACAATGAGCAAGGGTTAGAGAATATATTCAAAAAAATAGTGACAGAAAACTTCCCTCATTTGGTGAAGGAAGAAGGCATTCAAGTTCAAGAAGCACAGAGAGTCCCAAGTAAGAAGAACCCAAACAGGCCCACACCAAGACACATAGTAATTAAAATGCCACAAATCAAAGACAAAGAGAGAATCCTAAAAGCAGCAAGGATAAGCAACTGGTTACCTACAAAGAAAACCCCATAAGGCTCTCAGCTGACTTCGCACAAGAAACACTACAGGCCAGAAGGGAATGGCATGAAGTAATCAAGGTCATGAAAAACAAGGATCTGAATCCAAGACTACTCTACCCAGCAGGGCTATCATTCAAAACAGGTCAAATAAAGAGCTTCCCAGACAAAAAAAAAAGGCTAAGGGAATACATTAGCACCAAACCAGCACTGCAAGAAATGTTAAAAGGACTGCTGTAATTAGCAGAAGAAATGGGAAGAAAAATAGAACCACACTAAACAAAAATGGCAATAAATAAGTACATATCAATAATCACCTTAAATGCAAATGGATTGAATGCTCCCATAAAAAGACACAGAAAATCTGATTGGATAAGAAAGCATGACTCATCTACATGTTGTTTGCAAGAGACCCACCTCACAACAAAAGACTCACATAGGTTGAAAGTGAAGGGATGGAAAAAAATTTTCAAAGCAAATGGAAAGCAAACAAACAAAAAAAAAGCTGGGGTAGCAATACTCATATCTGATAAAACAGCTTTCAAAATGAAGGCCATAACTAGAGAAAAAGAAGGCCACTACATAATATTGAAAGGATCTATTCAAGAGGAAGATATAACCTTGATTAACATATATGCACCCAATATAGGATCACCAAAATATATTAAAAATCTTCTGGAGAATTTCCAAGGAGAAATCGACAGCAATACAATCATAGCAGGGGACTTCAACGCTCTGTTGACAGCACTGGATAGATCCTCTAGACAAAAATTTAGCAAGGAAACAGAGACTCTAAATGAAGCACGAGACCAAATGGATTTAATACATATCTACAGAGAATTACACCACAAAACTACAGAATACACATTCTTCTCAAGTGCACATAAAACATTCTCAAAGATAGACCACATGATAGGACATAAACTAAATCTCTACAAGTTCAAGAAGATTGAAATCATATCAAGCATCTTCTCAGATCACAATGGCATGAAACTACAAATCAATTTCAACAAGGACATGCAAAGACATTTCATCACATGGAGGATAAATAGCATGTTATTAAACGATGAATGGGTTACCGAGGAGATCAAGGAAGGAATTAAAAATTTCATGGAAATCAATGAAAAATGAACACAAAATCTATGGGATGCAGCGAAAGCAGTTCTGAGAGGGAAGTTCATAGCACTACAGGTCTACCTCAAGAAACAAGTAGAATTTTCACTGATACATCATCTAAGGCAACAGAATCAAAGGAAAAAATGAACACATGGGACTACATCAAACTCAACATCTTCTGCACAGCAAAAGATACAATCATCAAAATTAAAAGGCAACCCACTGTATGGGAGAACATCATTGGCAATGATGTATCAGATAAGGGATTAATTTCCAATATATATAGAGTGCTCATACAACTCAACAAAAGGAGGACAAAAAACCCAATTAAAAAATGGGCAGAGGAGCTGAATAGACACCTCTCCAAACAGGACATACAAATGGCCAAGAGACATATGAAGAAATACTCAACATCACTAATCATCAGAGATGCAAATTAAAACATCTATGAGGTATCACCTCACACATGTCAGAATGGCCGCCATCAACAAATCATCAAACAAGTGTTGGCGAGGGTGTGGAGAAAAGGGGACTCTAATACACTGCTGGTGGGAATGCAGACTGGTGCAGCCACTACGGAAAACAATATGGTGTTACCTCAAAAAATTAAAAATAGAACTGCCATTTGACCCAGTGATCCCGCTTCTAGGAATATACCCTAGGAAGCCTGAAACACCAATCAGGAAGAATATATGTACTCCTATGTTCATAGCAGCACTATTTACAATCGCTAAGATCTGGAAACAGCCCAAGTGTCCATCAGTAGATGAATGGATAAAAAAAGCTGTGGTACATATACACAATGGAGTACTATGCAGCGGTAAGAAAAAAAAATCTCTTATCCTTTGAGACGACATGGAGGGACCTGGAAAGTATTATCCTAAGTGAAATAAGCCAAGCAGAAAAAGACAAACACCACATGATCTCACTTATATACGGAATATAATGAACATAACAATCTGAGGAATACAGTAGACCCAGAAACATGGAAGTAGGGCACAGACTGACATCCCTCAGAAGAGGGGGTGGGGGGTGGGAAGAGATAAACCACAGAACTTATATGCATGTTTGCATGACCAATGGACATGGAGAACTAAGCTGGGGACGGGGTGACGGTAGGGTGGGGAGGGTGGTGCCAATGGCGTAAAAAAGGAGAAATACCTGTAACAAAAAAATAAAAAATAAATAAAATAAAATACCTTAAAAAAAAAAGACAAGTATCACATGACCTCTCTTATTTGTGGAATACAATTAACCAAATAAGGTGATGAACATAATAGACCCAGAGTCACAGAAGTAGGGTTCAGACTGACAAACCTCAGAGGAGGTGGATAGAGGAGGGAAGGAAGTGATAAACCAAAGAACTTATGCATATAAGCATAACCAATGGACATAGACAACAATGGGTTGAGGGGGGCAGGATCGGGAAGAGAGTGTCAGTGGTGGAAAAAAAGGTTCAACATCTGTAAAAAAAATAAATTAATTAAAAGAATAAAATAAGCTGCAACGAAAAAATAATAAAATATTATTATATACATGGATACAGTCTGATGAGCCCCTTTATAGTTTATCCCTACCAGATACTGACTAAAATGCAGCTGTACTTCATTTTTTCATAGCTTGTTGCTAGTCATTGTCCATTCTTAATCATTATGCTCAATTAAAACTTGTAGTTTCAGGGAATATATAGTAAATAAAACTGAGGCTGACTACCATGCAACAACATTACAAACTACACTAATACAGAATCCCAAATCTCATACAACCATGTCCCTGCCTTCCCAATTTCCAAGAAGACTGATTGCAGGCTACTACAACATAGCACATTATGTTAGGAGAGCCCAATTTTGGATCTTATTTTACTCATTGTCATTACCAGTGTTGTTAAATTCTGACAGGCTGAAGGACGACTAGATGGGTTAAAAGCAAAAAATATTCAAGTGCAACATATGCCATTTTCATACTCTGTTGCTCATACAAATATTTAAAAAATAACCAGGTAACATTCCTAAAAGTGTATGGGAAGCTGTATATCTGCTACACAACAACAATGTTTCAAGATTGTTCTGGCTGTAATTTCATTCAAACCTGTTAGCCATAGTTCATCTGAATAAAGATATAGTCTCTGACCAATACCTTGGGTTTCTTCTTATTACACTGTACCGTAGACAGACCTCTCTCTGCTCATTGGTTTCAGCAAACGTTTTAGTCTGAATATCTCCGAAACACATCTGAGACAAATTTTGAAAAGGACATGATTGAAAGGAGAGAAAATAATCAGGTGATTTGAGAAGAGTTGTGAGCCCTGAACAACAATAGCACAAAGAGAATTGTCATGTGCATTTCCCTCTGTGACAGCAGCATTGAACATTGCTATCATTCCAACCCTTTCTGTCTACAGATGTTATTTTCATTCTTCTCCAATCTTATCTTTTGATGAGTTCCTTAAATGACAGTCATGATTTTTTACACCGTGGAATGGCAGCTTGTGATTTTTTTTCCTGTAGTATTTGCATATCTCCAGTTGCCCAATAAAACTTTGGGCATCATCAAAAACTGGCTTTCCATACTTCCTTCCATGTGTCTAGACTCAGAGATACATGGATATCAGAACTAGTACGGACACTTTGATCTGTTAGGGCAATTCTCCCTTTTATGAGTAAGAAACTGAGGCTCAGAGAAGGGCAGGGGCTTGCACATGGCCTACTTCTGGAAGTGTTAAGTGTGCTCAGGAAACACCACCTCAGTCAAATTTCACTCAGCAAACAGATTTCAGAAGCTTTCCAAACACAAAACCCTCTACCAGCGGTTCTCAACCTGTGGGTTGCAAACCCTTTGGGGGTCAAACAACTGTTTCACAGGGGTCGCCTAAGATATAACAGTAGTAACATTACAGTTATGAAGTAGCAACAAAAGTAATTTTATGGTTCGGGGTCACCATAACATGAGGAACTATATGGTTGTGAATTAGGAAGGTTGAGAACCACTGCATGGTATCTAGATGAGTAGGTATTTTGTATTATTTATGCTTCACTGCCCCACCATTAGTGTGAATAATTGAGAGATAGCTGTCTTACTGCTTAATAGGATATTCAAGAACTGAGGACATTCCAGATTAGTTTCATGATATATGTATGGTAGGCATTCTCATAACTAACTTTGGTTGGATATAGCCCTTTACTCTTTACAAAGCACTGGTCCATATTATGTTATCACATGGGAGCTTTGTAACTAGCCCTGTGAAGTAAGATGTTAAGCCTATTTTTATTTACCAAGTGAGGTTCTTGGAGGTTAAGTGATTGCCCAAGGCCACACAACTAGTAAAGGATAAAACACAGCCTTGAAACAAGGACCTAGAACTCCAAACCCTAATGTGTTTACAGTCTTTACTTGATGAAACCTTTTGGCAGTAGCTGAGGATCAAAGAGTCAGAAGTTGAAGGTTAATTAGTTAAGAAACTGTGGTATTCAAGAAGATGGAAAAGGCAACAAATATCCAGAGAAATAGCCCTGGCTAAGTGTTTGTTTTTTCTTCTTTTGTTTTTCTCTCTTCACAATGAATGGTTTCAAGTAATACCTATATTGCATGAATCTTCAGTTGGACATGGGATTAAAAGGTGGGACCTATTTTAATTTACGCATAAGAATAATTATAATTTTATTTGAAATGTATCTTAGGAGTCCCGATTTTGAACTTTAAAAGCCATCTCTTTCTCTTTCTGAGTCACTGAATTAGGCGTGTGAACATCCATGGCTATGGTCATAGCACTGCTACTGGGATTTTTCTCTTCTCTGGGCTTTAGTTTCCTCACCTAAAAAATGACAACTCTGACATCTTAAAAGTATATGGTTCTAAGAGCAAGGTGTACAAAGGAATAAGAAGTCTTTTCCCTTTGAAAGTATAGAATGTCTCCTTTCCCCATCATTCTGGCATTTTGTCCCTGAAGGTTTTGCAATAGTCATAATAAAATTAAGTAAGATTTGGATGAGAACTTTGTTTCTTGCACCATGATCTTTTTTTTTTTTTTTAATCCTCACCTGAGGATATCTTTCCATTTATCTTCAAATAAAGTAGGAGGAAGGGAAGGGGGGAGAGAGAGAGAGCTTGGTTGCCTCCTGCACGACCCCGACAAGGGCTGGGGTACGTGCCCTTTGACCAGAACCAAACCTGCTACACTTCAGTCCATGAGCCTACGCTCTAACCGCTGAACCAAACCGGCCAGGGCTGTACCATGATCTTTAAACAGACTTTGTAATTTTGCATAATTATGTGACAAATTATAATAAAAAATAAAGAAATAGCAGTCTGAGGGTCATACATGGGACTCCTGATAGGCACCATCAGATCAGATAGGTTACAACCTGCCAGGAGAGCATATTACCTTGGGCAGCTGGGTCTCAAAGAAGATCTGAGGGTTAGGCCACAGAGTGTCTCTCACTCTTTTCAGATGTACTTTTCGTGGTGCCCAGAATATTGTAAATAAAAATAATCTCAGCTGTGATAATGACTTACCTTGGAAAATCATTTAACCTCTATACGACACAGGAGAATTTGCACAGCAAGTTTGTTCATGGAGGAAAAGGTATTTTCAGCAAAAATCCCTGTTATAAGACCAGATCCTTTTCTCTCTCTCTCTCTTTTTTTTTTTTTTTTTTTTTTTTTTTTTTTTTGGTACATGCCCCTAGCGGGAATCGAACCCAGGACTCTCTGGTCCACAGGCTAACGCTCCAACCACTGAGCCAAACCGGCCAGGGCAACACCAGATTCTTCTTATGCGAAGATTACTTGCACAAATTAAGTGACGTTTATGACAAAAATATGGATAGGCACAATTATGCTGGTTCTAAAGCTTGCATGGCAGCTGCACAAACCCATTTGGACTGGGGACATCTGAAACTCATTGCTCAACTTGAAGAAAAATAAAATTATTTCATTTTGGAATCAATTTACAGAAAGTGAGAACAGGGCCTCAAAGGCATAAGTCTAGAGGAGGGCAAGTGTGGCCAAGAAATGCATTATTGGGAATATGACTGAAGAAGGAAGGAAAAGTAACATTTGGCTATATAGAGCTGGTGATAATAATTCTCCTTGCTCTTCCAAGGGTCAGTCCCCAGTATTTCATCAAGAAGAAGAAAAACAAAATGAAATTTTCTCTAACCCTTTTCAAGGGCACAGGTACTATGGTTAGTAACTGCCATGGAGAATGGGCAGCTCAGGCACTGGAAATCCAGTAGAAACACTGGGAAAAGACAAGATGATGATTAGTTTTTTTATGTACTGATTTTCCTTTAGAAACTTTTGATTGACTGACAAATCAGCAGGCCTCTTGCTAGTGTCATGAAATCATATGTATCTGGAGCCAAGGAAGGGAGGCAAGACCGGACATATGAGTGCTCTCTATCTGTGCAGTTTTATTAAAAATTCATTGTTTGGTGCTAAAATAAATCACAAAAGATTGCTTTTCTAATAAAGGCAATCTCTGCACTCTCTGTTTGCTTATCTAGGTTTCTCTAATATACAAAACAGTATCTGCCTCATGTCTTGCCATCCTGCCAAAGCTAAAAACATACATGAATCAGAAATGGATTGTTTTGATCCCAACATTGGCAGCTCGGCAACAGAAGAACACACTAGCATTCAAGTTCAAACTCCTCTGAAGAAGACGGCTGAGTAGGTCTCCCTTAGGACACTGCCTCAAATATTAACTCTGAGAGAGGGAATCTGGATTAATGAGTTAATATAAACATTTAAAAAGCAAATAATTAAATAATCATCATAATAAAAAAAAAACAAAAAGTAGAATGACAACATGGAGTTAGCATTTAATTGTCTGGATCACTCCATAAAAAATATTCCTTTTACAAATGTCCAAAGAGAAAATCAGGCTATGAAGAATTCTCCGAAGTGCTTTTGCTGTCATCTACTAATTCACTTTCTTAGTCACTTGTTTACCTAGTGAATCAAATTTCCCATCCTCTTTTCATGGGGTCCCCTCTTGGCAGGCAGTCACTCTCCTATACAACTACCTTCCTACTCTTGGTCCTCTATGCTAAAATATTCTTCCTCCCCACCTTCATGCTCATAAATCTTTGTATTTACTTTGTAATGAGGAGTTTACTTGAAAGTTATACTGCAAAAAAAAAAAAAAAAAAAAAAGGGTCACTCCTTATCTGGTTGCCCTCCTACATTGCCCAGTGCAAATCCTGGGGCACTCAAGTGCTCTTATCAAGAACTCCCTCCATACTTAAGTTTTCCTAACTCTGATTTGTCCCTCTCTGTATACTGATTTCATGAATGATATGTGAGTCCTTGTATTTGCTTTCATATTAGAGACTTGGCAACCTGGTCCAAGAGGCAAAGTGCTTGCCTTGAGTCCCTAAAACAAAGATATCTGGTCCCAGGTCTCCTGTTTCTTTTCATAGGGAAAGAAATATGTGATTTCACTCCTCTATGCCTCAGTTTTCTTATCTGTAGAATGTGGTTGTAGTGAAGATTAAATGAAATAGTCTCTATAAAATACCTAACACAAAGCCTGGTACATAAAAGGGACTCAATAAACAGCAATTTTCCTTCCCCCAATCCTTACTGCATGGGCACAGTCTCTTACCTAAAATTAAAAAGAAAAAGAGGCCACACGGTACTTCTTAACATACTTTATGTCCTTCCTCTTCACTCTCTCTTACTATGGTTATCTCCAGCTTCCTGTTATCCTCTACATGTGTCTCTCCTCCCCAATCTGGTTCTCCGTGTCCTCATTGCTACAAGAATATGGTTGGACTAAACAATCTCTAAGGGTCTTTCAAGCAGTACCACTATAGCCACGGTATGGATCGGATGCTTCTTGGGCAACCAAATGTTATAACTACTCCCTCATAAACAGATTAGATAATGATATCACATCATACAAGAAATTGTTTTATAAAAATTCTTAAGGGCACTCTGGCTGGTTTGGCTCAATGGTTAGAGTGTTGACGCGCGGACCAATGAGTCACGGGTTCAATTCCTATCAAGGACACATACTTCGGTTGCGGTTCGTCCCCAGCCCTGGTCGGGTCATGCGGGAGGCAACCAGTCGATGTGGCTCTATCACATCAATGTTTCTCTCTCCCTCCCTCCCACTCTATCTGATAATAACTGGAAAAATATCCTTGGGTGAGGAGTAAAAAACAAAAAATGAAACAATAAGTAAAAATTCTTTTTTTTTTTTTAATTCTCACCCGAGTACATTTTTCCATTTTTTGTTCAGGTAGAGTGGGAGGGAGAGAGAGGAACAGAGAGAGAGAGAGAAACATCGATGTGAAAGGAACACATCGAGTGGCTGCCACCCGCACAACCGACCAGGGCCGGGGACAAACTGCAACCGAGGTACGCGCCCTTAGCGGGAACCGGACCCGGGTCTCTCAGGACCGCAGGCCAACGCTCTAACCACTGAGCAAAACCGACCAGGGCTAAATAAAAATTCTTAAGGGCATTTTATTTTGTAACAGATTTTTCTCTGATCAGGGTAAAACATTTGTCATTTCAAATAAAAATTTCTGGAAAGCAAATACTTATTACGAGAATCAATATGAAGCCATGGCCTTTTGATTAAAAACATGAAACTGACATATGGCACTTCTCCATCCCCAGGGAAAAAAACCTTCTAGGTTCTATTTATTTGCTTTTTAAAGTTTTATTGAGTTTCCACTTTTAGTCCTGCAACCTGTCCTAAAGGAAAGGGAAAGGCGCAAGGCTAGCTCTGGTTCTCCCAACATGCAAACAGCGACACTCCATGCCAGTGGTCTGTGTGGCAATGAAAATTCTTTGAGCTTAATTTCTTCAGTTAAAGATCTGCCACGGGAGATGAAACAACCAGTAGCAGGTTTTCCCTTAAAAGAAAATTGCAATTTGTTCTCAACAGTATATTTTCTTGAAGACAAAGAATGAGAAGGAAGAGGAGGGAGGAAGGGGGAAGGAAAGGAGGGAAACAAAGGAGGAGAAGATGAAGGAGAATTTATATAGGAAAAGTTATTTTCTAGGATATATCATCCTCAAATGAGAGCCAGAATTCATTATATGAATATCTGCTGTTACAAAGAGTTTATTTAAAATCATCTTAGCCCTGGTCGGTTTGGCTCAGCTGTTGCCCATGGACCAATGAGCTGTGGGTGGCATTCCGGTCAATGGCACGTACCTCAGTTGCGGTTCATCCCCAGCCTTGGTCAGAGTAGTGCGGGAGGAAGCTGTTTGATGTGTCTCTTTTCTGTCAATGTTTCTCTCTCTCTCCTTTCTTCCACTCTATCTGAAGATAAATAGAAAAATATCCTCCGGTGAGGATTAAAAAAAAAAATCCTCAACTGAATGAGTTTACCCAATTTTATTTCCACTAACTTAAAGTCCATCAATTCAGCCTGGTGGTCTCAGCATCATATCTACCCGGGCCATTTGGCTTAGTAGCTCCTTTAGCAATGTTCTCTAAAATCAAAGATTGGCTATAGGTTGACTTTTTCAGCTATGTATCCAATTTGAGAAAATAAATACATTTTATTCTGGAAGCTAGCAACTAGCTAATTATTGGATGAATTTTATGATTGAATATAAACTGAGTGTTGAAAGGCAATATGCTGAAAAGCTGTGCATTAGATTTTCTACCACTTCACAGTTTTATGTTATTTTACTTTGCAAACTCTGGTTTACTTAGTCAATAACTTGTAGAGACCATACCCTAAAACTCTGCACATCAAAATAAATGTTTCCAGCCTGGCCTGTATGGCTCAGTGGTTGAACATCGACCCATGTACGGAGAGGTCACTGGTTCGATTCCCGGTTAGGGCACATGCCCAGGTTGCAGGCCCAATCTATCTATCTCTCCCTCTCCCTTCCACTCTCTAAAAATCAATAAAACATTTTTAAAAATGGATATTTCCAGATTGCTCAACAGGTGCACACGGATTAATCATAGTTACAGATTCCTAAACTCTTTAAAAATTTTTATTTAATTTATTGGGTAAACACCCATTAATAAAATTTAAAAGGTTTCAGATTTACGATTCTATAATACATCATTTGTATATTGTATTGTGTGTTTACCATCCAAAGTCAAGTCTCCTTCCCTTACTATTTATCTGTCCTTTACCCTCTTCTACCTCCTGTCTCTGGCAATCACCATACTGTTGTCTTTGTCTATGCATTTATGAGGTTTTTTTTTTTTTTGCTTAATCCCTTCACTTTTTTCTCCTATCCTTTCAACTCCCATCCATCTAACAGCTGTCAGTCTGTTCTCTGTATCTATGAATCTGTTTCCATTTTGTTAGCTTATTTTGTTCCTTAGATTCTACAAGTAAATGAAACCATATGATATATGTCTTTCTCTTACTGGTTTATTTCACTTAGCATATTATTCTCCAGGTCCATCCATGCTGCCACAAAACATTAGATTTTATTATTTTTTTTTACAGCCAGTACTATTCAAGTGTGTAAATGTACCAAAGCTTTTTTATCCACTCATCCATTGATGAGAACTTAGATTGCTTCCAACTCTCGGCTATTGTAAATAAAGCTGAAATGAACATAAGGCTGCATATATTCTTTTGAATTAGTGTTTCAGGTTTCTTCAGATATATACCCAGAAGTGGAACTGCTGGGTCATAAGGCAGTTCCATTTTTTAAGTTTTAAGGATCCTCCATATTGTTTTCCACAGTGGCTACACCAATATGCATTCCCATCAACAGAGTAAAAGGGTTCCCTTATCCCCTCCTCACCATTGGTTGTTTGTTGATTTATTGATGATAGCTATTATTACAGGTGTGAGGTGATAACTCATTGTGGTTTTAATGTACATTTCCCTGGTGATTAGTGACCTTGAGCATCTTTTCATATTTCTATTGGCCGTGTGTCCTCTTTGAAGAAGTATCTATTCAGGTCTTCGCCCATTTTTGAATTGGATTCTTTGTGGTTTTTGTTTGTTTGTTTTGTTTTGGTGTTGAGTTGTATAAGTTTGTTATAAATTTTGGAAATTAATGCCTTATCAGATGTATCCTTAGAAAATATGTTCTCCCATTCAGTGGGTTGACTTTTTATTGTGTTGATGGTTTTCTTTGGTGTGTAAATTTTTCTTAGTTTGATGTAGTCCATTTAGTTTAATTTTTCTTTTATTTCCTATGCTCAAAGAGATATATCAGAAAAAAAATATTTTCACTAAAAATGCCCAAGATTTTACTGCCTATGTTTTCTTCTAGGATTTTTATGGTTTTGAGTTTAACATTAAAACATTTAATCTGTTTTGAGTTTATTTTTGTGTATGGTGTAAGAAAGTGATCTAATTTCATTTTATTGCATGTATCTGTCCAATTTTATCAACATCATTTATTGAATAGACTATCCTTACCCCAGTGTATGTTCTTGCCTCCTTTGTAAAATATTCATTAACCATAAAGATGTGGATTTGCTTTTGGGCTCTATATTCTGTTCCACTGATCTATATGTCTGCTTTATGCCAGTAAAATGCTGTTTTTATTATTATGGCCTTGTATTCTAGTTCCATATCACACAGTGTGATTCCTCTCACTTAGTTCTTCTTTATAAAAATTGCTGTGACTATTTGGGGTATCTTGTGATTTCCACATACATGTTTAAATTATTTGTTCTAGTTCTGTGAAATATGCCATTGGTATCTTGATAGGAATTACATTGAA